TTTCAAATATTGCTTTTAAGCGAATAGGATAGAATTATGCATATATTCTCATAGCCTTATTTTCCTCTTAATAATGTGCTATTTCTGTGTTAAAAATAAAAACACTGGCCCTAACTGGATTGGCTCAGTGGATAGAGTGTCGGCCTGTGTACTGAAAGATCCCAGGTTTGATTCTGGTCAAGGGCATGTACCTTGGTTGCTGGCACATCCCCAGTAGGGGGTGTATAGGAGGCAGGTGATCAATGTTTCTAACTCTCAATCCCTCTCCCTTCCTCTCTGTAAAAAAATCAATAAAATATGTTGAAAAAATAATAAAATAAAAACTCTGAGGGCTGGAGTGGTTCCGTTTTTTGAGTGTCCTCCCATGTACACAAAGGTTGCAATTCCTGGTGAAGCCACAAGACAGGTTCCTGGCTGGATGCCCAGACGGTGGGTAAGGGAGGGGAGGAGGCACCCCACCTGTGTTTTTCTCTCTCCCTATCATTTTCTCTCTCTCTCTAAAAATGAAATTTAAAAAACAGTAACTATCTACATATCCATTTAGATTTGTGGTCTTCAGGAAAAATTGACATAATTTTCACCTCAGGCAGCATTCTGAGCTTCATGGAGTCTGAAATAACATCTCCAAATAAGGGCTCAGTTGCAGACAACACTCCCCATAACCGCCACCAGCCACCAAAACCTAAGGGTGTCATTTCCCACAGCCATTCGGGCGCCCCAACACCAATATTCTCAATGGCCAGCCAGTGACTGGGATCCTAATGCCACCTGCGCGGCCTGGAAAGTTCCTTACCCAAAGGGCAATGCGCCTAATGATGGCTGCGTTTAGCCAATGAAAGCCCAGGAGAGGCGCATGAGCCTGGCGCTCATTGGTTTGGGCATGACTCCCAGATTAGTCCTCCAGGTGGTCATTTTCACCTCCTCGTTCTCTATCCACATAGAGGGCCCAGCGGGCAGCATCAGGACTAGGACAAGCCATCAGAGGCAGCGTCCCCGCTGTGCAGGGGGTGTCTGAGGCTTGTTGACCTGCAGCAGGCGGGATTGAGGTCTCCATGCTTCCCAGACTCCTCTCTGCTTACTGAGGTCAACTCAGCCTCACCCCATTTACCCTCCATCCTACCACGCTGTCAGGCCCTGCAGCTCGCGTCCCAGCACCCAGAACAGTGAGTAGCTTGTAGGTGACACAGCATGTGATGGGGTGAAAGAGGGTGACGGGCTGCAATGCCACTCAGTCAGGCCTGGGGGTGTGGCTGAGCTGTGAGGACTCGGGAATCCCAGGTCTGTTTTGATTGTCAAGGCAACAAAGAAGATGAGGCAAAGTTTTGTGTGAGGAGTTTTACTTTCATCGTCAGGACGCTGGGGCCATGGGTGGTTGTGAACAGCAGAGGGACGTTGTCTGAGGTAGGGTTCTAAACATTTCTCCAAACTGCTGATAAGAATCACACCTTAGAGGGGAGAGGATAGAAATAAGGGACCAGAAGGAGGAGTCTTTTGAAAGATAAGGAACTTGACAAGAGTGTGCACTGAGGACTGAGCCCTGGGGGAATTCAGGTATCACCCAGCACCAGGGATGGGCCAGGGCCCTGAGCAGCCTGAGCCCCTGGGTCCTGGGGTGGGTGCCAGTCCGTCAACAGACCTTTAGTTCCTACAGATTCCTGCAGGTGCAGAGCCACTGAGGGGACTGGGCTGTGGGGCTGATGTCAGGGCGTCACACTCTTGTGGCCTCGAGGTCGTGGGGTCCTGGGGCTGTCCAGCCTCTGTTCCTGCCCTGGGACCTGGGGACATAAAAACAGACACAAATCCCCGAATCCTAAGTCCATGACTAAGGTTGTATGAAGTGGTCCATGTTTTTCTGGCAAACAGTGGAATGAGATGTAGGAGGTCCTTCCAGGCACAGGTTTCAGATGTGGCCGAGGCTGAGAGTGAAGACAGCTGGTTCAGGAACCTGCAGGAATGCTTTTCTTTTGATGGGAACAGGTGAGAATGGGAGCGGAGTCAGGTCTAGAGGAGCTTTGTGACAACACGGTTGTCTGTTCTGCAGGTGATGGGGGCAATGGGAGATTTGGAGCAGCGGAGGCAGGTGATCTGACTCAGGTCTCATTAGAAGCCCTGTGGCTGCAGCATGGAGAGCAATATGGGTGAGAGGGAGGTGGTGTGATCATCTGGGACAGTGGTTGGCAAACTCCTTAGTCAATAGAGCCAAATATCAACAGTACAACAATTGAAATATCTTTTGAGAGCCACATTTTTTAAACTTAACTACATAGGTAGGTACATTGTTATTAACTTTATGAGGGTCCTCCTAAACTGGCCTTTGCTAAAAACATCCTCAGTCTGACTGAGGTATATTCGCTGAGGTCAACCCCTTCCAAATCTCCCATCCTCAACTCGTGCTTAAATCATGTGCCTCCCCCGTGCTGCATATCATTTGGCCCCTCTGCCTGTGCTGTGTCTCCCATCACCCATCCGACTGACACCCTCCACTTTTTATAACAACAGTTCTTCAAAATAGACTCACCCAGGCCGAAAACCGTCTTCTGTAGGTGGGTCACGAAGTTTCAGTCACACTGTACGTGCGCACCTGCATGTGGTATTTGTTATGAGAGCCACACTCAATGGGCCAAAAAACTGCATGTGGCTCGCAAGCTGCTGTTTGCCAACCACTGGTCTGGGAGAGTGTGATGATAACTGGCCCTTGATGGTGGCCGTGGAGATGGAAGACACAGTTGGATCCGGGATTGGTATTTTAGGTGTGGCCACCTGGATTTTCTAATTTTGAAGTTGAGAGAGAGAGAGGTAAGAGTCAGAGGTGAGATGAAGGTCTGTATTTTGCATCTGGGGATATGGAAGCACCATCATCTGGCATAAAGACATTCATAGTGGGAAGGTTCATGTTCATTGCAGATAAACACGAACAAACACTTATTTTGGCCTTTTAGGGTATGAGGTATTTCAGAGACCAGTTAAAGAGCATCTGGAACTCGGAGGAGTTGTTCAAGATGAAGACTACTCAAAAGGAGTGAAGACCGCCTGGACCAGAGAGGAGTTGTAGATCATCATTTTATTTTAATTTGAGGCCCTAGGTCCATGGAAACAAGGTGAGATTGGGGCTGGTGCATATTTACTTATTAAACACTCACCAGGAATATTCTGTGAGCCTTGGTGTGGCCTGGGGTGTTGCACTCAGTCTGGTTGATTTGCTTAGGGCCATGAGTGGCCATCTGTGAGACTCACTGGGCATGGGGTGAAGCATAGTAATCCCTCCTTTGGAAAACTGCTGTTTGAACTACTCTGTGATTCTTAGACAATCTCTTATTCTGTAGGTCAACTCCATTATTTTTAGACTGTACAATAACTTTGCTTTTTGCCTGTAGAGAAGAGATAAACTTAATTGCCTGACATTGCAAGCTAGCCATCTAACTGATACGCTGATATTGATGCCAGGTGCCTGTATAGATATGAAACTCAAGGTTACAGGTGTCTGTATAGATATGACAGGTGTTTGCTAGATATGATATGTACTCAAGGTTACAAGCTGTCTACAAAAAATAACTGACACAAGGGCCTAAGAAAGATATAAAAAGAGAATTATTCCTCCTTTGGGTGTTCAGAATTTGACAGAGGTAATCTGCTCTGAACCTGCATCCAATAGAGATAACTCCAACAGGCTCATAATGGCATCTTGTCCAGCGAGATGATTTTTGATACAACCGGGGTAGAAAGCCATCGGCCATGAGAAATGAGTGGTGAGGGCTGTGACTGGGGATGGGAGATCATGTGCAGCACTGGTGGAGGTTGGCTCTGGATATCTAAGACGTGATGTGGTTCTCAATAGGTGAGGTTGAAGGAAAACACAGTCAGGGAGTGAGGCCTTTATAGCAGGACTCAAGGCTGCCTCAATGAGTGTGGACTCTCAGAGTTGGTGTCGAACTTATTCCTGTTTGAATTTTCCAAGCAGTCACTACACCACACATGCTGAGTAATGAGTAGGAAGTCAGGAGATGAGTATGGGGGCTGTGGGTGTGGGAGTGCAGGTGAGAGAGAGGTGTGGGAGAAGGAGTGATGTGCCCTTGGAGAGGGAGTGTGAATTCATGACCACAGGACACTGGATGTTGCAGTAAGGGTGAATAAGGAGTGAGTCCATTTTTGGTGGTTACTGGCTGATATGATATGACATGATATGAGGAATTTTAGTGTAATTGTCTGAAAATAGGGGTGTTGTGGTGAGACCTGCCAGGTCCAGAGCTGAGGTGTCACATAGATGCACACCTTCCTATGGTTGTTGAGGGCTGACACATTGATCAATGGGAAGGAGATAGCATATATTGGTGTCACCTGGGCTTGCATGTTTGCAGTGGAATGGGGAAGGGAGATAGAAAGCGAGAGAGAAGCACATTACAGAGGCTGTGAATTAGACATTTGGAGGAGAAGGTGAGTAGGAAATAAAGTGTTCTCGCGAGGGCAAATTTGTGTTGCCTTTGAAGATGTGCCCCTGGAAATGAAGCTGTGTGAGAGAAGTGTGGTTCAAAGAATTATGTTGAGCAGGTAGAGCAAAGAGATGGCCTCAACACCATGGTATCAGAGTCAGAAGGGTGAAGCATGAGGCCATGTTTTTTCATGTCTCTGAGGGAGATTACGGGCGATAACAAGAGTATTGCCTGACAGAAGAAGTGATAAATCATTCACATTTTCTTTATGGCCAACATCTCTCTCTTCCCTATGTGGGTGACACCGACTGTATTGACAAGAGGCAGTGTGGCCTACATGTGAGGCCCAGAGCTCAGGTATCTGCTCTCTGCTCAACTGCCTTTATTGTTGTGGGAAGACACAGAATCGGTAGGAATATAAGGAGAGAGTGACTTTGATGGGCCCAAGGCCTGGTGTCTTGTCTGATGAAGTGTAGAGGGAGCAAATGGATGTGGAGGGTGGGAAGTATGAAGAACTTGAAATCCTAAGAGAGAAGCTAATCATGGATTGAACTGTCCCCATTATGACAGAATATGAACTTTGAGGACGTGGCCATTGTCTTCTCTGAGGAGGAGTGGGGGCTCCTTGATGAGGCTCAGAGACTTCTGTACTGCAATGTGATGCTGGAAGTGTTTGCACTTGTCTCATCTGCAGGTAAGACCTTCACGTTTGTCCCAATGTCCTGAGGTGATGTGTACTCTTCCTTTATTCTCCAAACATAGCTCTCACAGCCAGACCATGGGCTCTACTAATATCCCCCACTGTCCTTTCAAATGGGCTGTGGCTGCCAGGGGCGAGCTGTGTGGGGAGTCCTGAGCTCTGGACTCACCAAGCATCCCTTACACCCACTGCCTCAGAAAATGCAAGAAGTGTCTGGGAGTCAGGAGTCTTGCAATGAGCTTAATGGGACCCACTTTGAACTTTCTCTTCCTGGGAAGGTGACTATGTCCTCATGGCTTCCACTTCTACACCATTCATCCAGGTTAGGCTCTGTTACTGCCTGTGCCAGGGTGTCGTCTTTACTTATATGAACCGTAGCTGTACTTGTAACATTCTACCTCAATTGTTGTTTGTAATATTTCCTTCCCTGAATACTATTTCATTCTGAATTGCTCTGGGTGAGTGCTGGCTGCTCACCTCCCTTGTCTTTCTTTCTTTCCTTTTTTTTTTTTTACAGTTTATTAAATAAATTTTTAAAAAATATTTATTCAGATTATCACAGTTGCTCCTCTTTTTCCCCCATAGCTCCCCTCCACTCGGTTCCCACCCCACCATCTGCCCTTACCCCGCACCCACTGTCCTCATCCATAGGTGCATGATTTTTGTTCAATCTCTTCCCGCACCCCCACACCACTTCCCCGCTGTGAATTGTCAGTCTGCTCCCTTTCTATGCCCCTGATTCTATAATATTTCCCAGTTTACTCTGTTCATCAGATTTTTTACTCACTTGATTTTTAGATTCACTTGTTGATAGATATGTATTTGTTCATAATTTGTATCTTTACTTTTTTCTTCTTCTTCCTCTTCTTAAAGAATACCTTTGAGCATTTCATATAATACTGGTTTGGTGGTGATGAACTCCATTAACTTTTTCTTGTCTGTGAATCTCTTTATCTGACCTTCAATTCTGAATGATAGCTGTGTTGTGTAAAGTAATCTTGGTTGTAGGTTCTTGCTATTCATCACTTTGAATATTTCTTGCCACTCCCTTCTGGCCTGCAAAGTTTCTGTTGAGAAATCAGCTGACAATCGTATGGGTTCTCCCTTGTAGGTAACTGTTTTTCTCTTGCTGCTTTTAAGATTGTCTCTGTTTTTTGTTCTTGGCATTTTAATCATGATGTGTCTTGGTGTGGTCCTCTTTGGATTCATTTTGGTTGGGGTTCTCTGCACTTCCTGGACTTGTAAGTCTATTTCTTTCACCAGGTAGGGGAAGTTTTCTGTCATTATTTCTTCAAATAGGTTTTCAATATCTTGCTCTCTCTCTCTTCTTTTCGCAGCCCCATAATTTGGATGTTGGTATGCTTGAAGTTGTCCCAGAGGCTCCATACACTGTCTTCGTATTTTTGGATCCTTTTTTCTTTTTGCTTTTCCAGTTGGGTGTTTTTTGCTTCTTCGTATTTCAAATCTTTGACTTAATTCTTGGGATCCTCTAGTCTGCTGTTGGATCTCTGTATATTATTCTTTATTTCAGTCAGTTTATGCTTAATTTCTAGTTGGTCCTTGTTCATTTCCTCGAGGGTCTCACTAAATTTGGCGGCGGTTTCTAGAAAATTCTTGAAAAACCTTATAACCATGGTTTTGAACTCTATATCCCGTAGTTGGCTTTCCTCCATTTCTGTCATTTGTGACCTGTTTTTTTATCTCCTCGTTTTGGCTGCTTCCCTGTGTTGATAGAGTGGCTTTGTGTGCTAGGTGTCCTTTAGGGCCCAGTGGCTCAGCCTCCCCAATTACCTGAGGGGGGCACTCTTGGTGCACCCCTTTGTGGGCTTTGTGCACAGTCTTGTTGTAGTTAAGCCTTGATTGTTGTAGGTATCACTGGGAGGAATTGACCTCTAGGCCAATTGGCTGTGAGAATCAGCTGTGTCTATAGTGGGAGAACTTCTGTGCTGGAGACACCCTTATGGGGCAAGACTTGCTTCAGTGGGGCTTTGGTGCTCACTCAGTCTGCTCCCTGAGTGTGTCCCTTATGATCTGAGAAATTGTAATCTGGATGGTCCCACTCTGACCACTGGGTACACTGGCTCTTGGATCTCTAAGGTGGTGCTAATTTAGACTCTGTCTGAGGCTACCTAGCAGGAGCTACGGAGAGATATACAGATTCCTCTTCTTTGTTTGGGGTTTGGAGTTATGCAGATGAGATTCAGCTGTGAAGCAATGCAAGCTGCTGTGGGGACTTGCACCTTCTTTTGGATGTTCTGGGTCTCTCTGACCAAGCTGCAGTTTGTTAGGTAATTTTAGATTGCAAAGGGCCAGGCCATTCGTATGCAAAAACCACTGTGCATAGCTTGGGTGGGGCAGGGACTCAGGGAATCAACAGGGCGGAGCAAACAGCTATGGCTGATCCCCAGCCCTGCCCTAAGAGGCCCCGGGTCTCAGTGTCCCCCAGTAATCGCTACAAGCACCTCTGCGAGAAAGCCACCCTTGCGTTCCTCCTGATGCCAGACAGTCCAGGTTCTCCCAGTATGAGGCTGGGTCCCCAGAGACTCACCTGAAACTGGAGGTTAGAGCAGTCAGGAGCTTGTGACTCCCTCCTGATTGAGAAAGCAACCGTGTTCTCAGTTGCCAGTCCTTTCCGTGTGCCCCCGTACCTCTGCACTTCACTTCTGCACCTCCTCTGAGTCTCAGTGTGCTTTTCTCTTTCCTTCTAGTTGTAGAATTTCCACTCAGCCAATCTTCCTGTGGTTCTGGATGATGTGTGTTTCGTCTTTTAGTCGTATTTTTGAAGCAGTTGTGTGAGGCAGCAATTTCAGGTGTTTACTTATGCCACCATCTTGGTTTCTCCTCCTTGTCTTTCATTAATACTCTGAATATTTAGGTTGTATGTATTTATAGAGTAGAAGGTGCATGGAGAACCCTGTGTTCTCTCTCAGGGTGAACTGGGAAAATGGTCTCTGATGAGGCCTGATCCTACTGAGTGGAAACTGGGGGAAGGTATCACATGAGGGCTTTTTTCAGATCACACCAGGAACCCACTTGTGTCCAACCATATTTAGGTGCAGGTGCGTTTCTCACCACCTTATTTCTACATTTTCTTTACCGTTATTGACATTTTGATGACTGATCATTTCATGTGTGACTTCATGGCTTTTGGCTACCTTCACCTTCGTCACCTTTTTGCATCACCTGTCCTGGGCACTGCTCCCTGTGCAGTATTCTCCTGCATGGACCTGCACATGTGTTATCAGGTGCACATACATGCTTAAGTAGTCCTCGAGCCCCTGCTACTGAATTTTACTTGGAATAAGACATAAGCAACCTTCTGCACAGCTTGCCCATGTGACCAGCCGATAAGCCCTGCTGAACACTGTTAGCACAAGAAGGAGCTGATGATCCTGCTTTGATTCCACGTGGTGCTTGCCATCTTTGTGCCATATTTCTGGTGATGCTTTCCTTGTTTTGTGATAGTCAGAGTTCCAGAACTTCACTGGAGCCTTTTCCTAATCCATCCAGCACATCTCTTAATTTCAGACAATTGCGTGGAACGCCTGTATGATGTGCCACATATTTTTGAAATGGAACTTCCCTCATCACCGTAATCAACATCCATTTCCTCCTCATTTCTCTGTTTTCAGGTTGTTGGCATAACACGGATGATGAGGAGGCCTGTTCTGAGCAGAGTGTATCTGTACAAGGAGAGTCACAGGTCAGGGCGTCTAAGACAGAGCCAGCAACCCAGAGGACCCATGTGTGTAAGCGGTGTTTCTCTGTGTTCAAAGATATTCTGCACCTGACTGAGTCACAGGCAGCATACCTTGAGCAGAAGGCCTTCTTCAATGACACACGTGTGAGAGACTTCTGTTTCAGTGCAAACCCTCGCCAGCAACAGAGGGAAGCCAGTGGAGAGAAGCCGTGGAAGGAAGTGGTGGACAGGGCCTCGTTTGTGACCAGGTGCAGCTTCTACTTATCAGGGCTGCCTTCATCCAGGAGGGAGGTTGGGGAAGATTTGCCAGCCACCTCAGAGCTTCTCCAGCACCAGGCCCCTCTGGACACTGAAGAGCCACACAGTGGCAGTGATACTTCCCAGAAATTTCTTAGTGGAAAAGGTCATAACCAGTGGGGTCAATGTGGAAATCCTGCCAGCCACAACCAGAAAGTTGTTCAACAGGGCGTCTGCAAGGGAGAAGTGAATTATGCATGTAACAAATCTGGAAAAATTTTTAGAGGAATCTCTAGCCTCATGCAATATAGGAAAGTTCACAGTGGAGAAAAGCCATATGAGTGTAGTGATAGTGGGAAGGCCTTCGGATATAAGACTAACCTCAATCAACACCACAGACTTCACATTGGAGAAAAGCCCTATGTGTGTAGTGATTGTGGGAAGTCATTCAGGTATATCTCTGTTCTTAATCAGCACCAGAGAGTTCACACTGGGGAAAAGCCATATGAGTGTACTGATTGTGGCAAGACTTTCAGTCTTAGGTCCAACCTCACTGAACACCAGAGAGTTCACACTGGAGAAAAACCTTATGAGTGCAGTGAATGTAGGCAGTCCTTTAGACGAAGGTTTATCCTCAGAGTACACCAGAGAGTTCACACTAGAGAAAAACCTTATGAGTGCAGTGAATGTGGGCAGTCCTTCAGACAAAGGCGTAACCTTACTAAGCACCAGAGAGTTCACACTGGAGAAAAACCTTATAAGTGCAATGAATGTGGGAAGTCCTTTAGACAAAGGCATACCCTCACTGAACACCAGAGAATTCACACTGGAGAAAAACCTTATGAGTGCAGTGAATGTGGGAAATCTTTTAGATGCCATGGTAACCTTTTTACCCACAGGAGAATTCACACTGGAGAAAAACCTTATGAGTGCAGTGAATGTGGGCAGTCCTTCAGACAAAGGTGTAACCTCACTGAACACCAGAGAATTCACACTGGAGAAAAACCTTATGAATGCAGTGAATGTGGGAAATCTTTTAGATGCTATAGTC